CGGAAGTCTTCATTTTCGTTTAAAAGGCTATAGTCAGATCACACCTAGAGTATTGTGTACAGGCTTGAGCATACTTACTCAAGAAGTATGCTGCCTGTTTAGAGAAAGTGCAGAGATTGGCCACCAGAATGGTTGNACTTGAGGTTGTAGGGCTCTTCTCATTAGAAAGAAGACTGCGAGGTGACCTAATGCCAAAGTCATCATGTGTTACATCACCAGATGGCTTCCAAGGTAACGAGTGCAGGAAGGCTAAAGCTCGCAGAAATAAGACCTGGTATGAAGATCCTGATAAATGCACCTGGTCAATTTAGGCTTCTTTGTTCCACATGTTAGATAACAATGTGAAATACCATTCGGTGTTGAACTTTGATCCTGCCGATCACACGGCCCCCAACTGAGAAGCCTAAAGCAACCCATGTATTCGAGTTTCCTGGTTAGGATTTTTATATCCTCATGCTGGGTTTTAGTTTGACTGCCTTCGTCCAACCACACCCGTGGAGGTCATGTGCGCGACCGCNCCTAAAACCCTCCCGTTTAAACTCGTCATCGCTTACCCTGTTGCCCCACCAGGCTCGAGGGGCGATGTCCGAGCATTAAGTATCTGTCGTTTTTCCCATCTCTTTGCTAAGAGATTCACGATATATTCTCAACATCTACTTAATTTCATTAACTACTGCTTGCAGATTTCCACTTATTCGTTCTACTCCCTTATTCACTCGGGTAATGACCAAAACCACGGTACAAAAGTGCAAGGTAGAGATTGCTTAAATCCAACTGAACTGACAGGATTTCACAGTGGTTTAGTCGCTGTCACCGGCGTGCTTTGAGGTTCGAGCCCCGCTGCCCAACTTTGGTGGTAGGCTGCTTTGCTGTCATCCGGTTCAACACCACGCCTGACCTAGCGGNCTCCAATTTTCTGGGCTTAGGTTGCCGGTTTCACCACTGAACAGCAGGTCTTCGTGATTATGGGGTCCACCCGGTCCGCTGTTCATCACACACTGGTGTGTAATTAAGAAAATTGTTTAACTGGATTTGTCGGAAAACATGGGCGACGCTCAAAGTAACGAGCCTCAGAAATTCTTGGTATTAGGTATGCTGGAACGTTCCTTTTTAACCTAATACCATGAGCACAAGTTTTCAGTGATTTATGCAAACGAAAACAGTAAGAAAAACGTTAGACTGAATCATTACTCACAAGGATCCAAGATAAATGCTGGCCATGTCAAGATTTACACAACTGTATTTTTTTATACCGCCTAATTGTTCATGTTATCCTAGAGATAAGTGGTAAATTCATGCGAATGATTCAATAGTTTCACTCTAAAATTGGCTTTACACCTTCAACATC